GTTAAGCATCCCTAACGCACATGAGGGTGGAAGACACAGCTCGGTCGATGGGGGAGGGAGAGGAAGAACAACTAAATTGATAGTCACAAAGCACTAAGGTGGGTGCCAGGATCATGGCCTGCTAAGGAGATCTGTGACACATAGGTCCTCTTCCCTTGGTCTCTAAGCACATTTTTCACTTGCTGCTTCCTCTCCTGATTTATGAGCTGGGATGCTGTGGTTGGCTCTGAATAGTGACTCCACCCCCAGGTTTCCTGGGTTAAAAGCTTGGTCTCCATGGTGGTGCTCTTGGGTCTTTCAGGAGGTGGGACCTAGTGGGAGGTTCTTAGGTCATTGGGTGATCTGTTCCCCAGAGGCACTGTAGGACTGCTGTCTCTTCCTCTGTTTCCTGGCTGGACACAGGATCGCTGGTTCTGACATCCACACCTGCCATTGGCTTTCCCAGCAATAAGGAGAGGCAGTAAAGGGGCTCCTTGCCCAGCCTGTTCTAGGCCTTTGAAACCTCCAAAACTATGAGCCAAAAYATACCTCTCTTCATAGGTAGCCTTAGTCAGGTGTTTCCTTGTAGTAACCTGAAACTGACGGATACACAGGATGACCCCTTGAATAGCATGGATCATCACAGAATCGATGCTTCTCAGGCCCCACTGGTGATTTTGTCAGATCCATGACAACTTTCCCTCCATTTGCTTAAACTGAAATCTATGAATCRATGAAAATTATCAGTTGAAAGACTGACATTCCAGCAGTTGGAGAGGCTGAGGCAGGAGGATGGCAAATTCAAAGCCGGCCTCAGCAAAAGGGAGGTGCTAAGCAACTCAGTGAGACCCTGACTCTAAATAAAATATGAAATAGGGCTGGGGAATGTGGCTCAGTTGTCATGTGCCCCCTCCCCCCCCCAAGTCTGACATTGCTTTCTGTTTAATTGCTTCCCCCTTTTTTGTTTATGTCCCCAGATAATACAACACAAGAGTCGGGAGAGCTCATTGCAAGAACTATACAAATAGACAGAAGTCAGGTATCCACAGGAGGAGGCGAGGAYTAGCTTTCTGCATCGCGTCTTTGCGCCGGCCTGGTCTAGCCATCTGAGTCTCCCGACTTAAGTTGCCCGGTACCAGACCCGTGTCTCCATGGCGACGCGTCACAATGCAGCCGCGCGCCGCCTGCAGAGCCAAGTCGGGCTGCAGCCTCAGCCGGGCTCCACTGCCTCCTCGGCAGGATGGCCCAGCCTGAGTTCATGGCTTTGTGCCCCTCTTTAAACGACCACAAGCTCCAGCCAAGTAAGATTGTGTACCCTACCTGTCTGCAGACAGGGTTGGGGTCTTTCCTGGGGAAGGGGTAGCATCCAGCCAAGGGACTTSGATCTTTAATGATGCTGTCTCCCTCTTAGGGATGGGCCCCACTGAGGGACTAGGGACSGCTGGGGAGTCAGGGAGAATGACGATGTTCATGACCTTGTCCCTTTCCAGCCCTTCATACTTGTGCTAAACCTCCTCTTTGACCTGCCCRTACTTCTTTCTAAAACACTCCAGGACATGCCTGCCTAGGAAGGGACCCAGGGAATGAAGGGCTGGGCCCTTTCCGAGGAGAACAGGGCMAAAAGCAAAGAAGGAGCAGAGCGACTGGGACTCCCAGAAGAGAACAAGATCGGCTTGAGCCCCGCCCCCATGGAGGGTCTGGGAAACAGCCAAGAAATAGGGTTTGTGGTTTGGGGGAGCTAGGTGGTTACAGATGGAGCTAAGGTCTTCAGCCGCAGCTTCTGAGTAGGACCATTTCTCTTTCAAAGAGACCCTGTCGGTAAAGATGGGGAGCTCTGCATCCTCGTTTTTGCTCCCAGATGCAGCAGGTTACCAGCTCAGCTTTTCGAGTCTGCGGGGGGAGAGCCGCTCTAGCTGTGATGCTAGTGGCATGATTACTGTGTAGTCAGCTACACCGTGGCCTTTCCCTTGGCAATAATGGCCCGTGGCTGCTGTCTAGCTGGGTAATTGTGGCTGCACGCTGGCTCCAGAGCAGGGAGGAATTGTTCAGCTGCAAATTCCCTAGAATTGTGCTCCCGTGAGAGTGAGTGAAATGTGTACTTTCATTTCAATTCATTCTTTGAACATGAAGAATAGAAAGAGGAAATACTTAATTAGCACAAAAATATCAAATATACTCAGTTTCCATATAATGTCAAGGTAAGCAGAAAGGAGAGAGAAGTGCTTTCTCGGGATTCCTGAGGGGTCTCCTTTTAATTTCCTCTTCCTTTTCTAGCTACTCYGTCTTGGTTTCTTTCATTGTCTCCTCTCCCTGTCCTTGGCTGGGAAATGCCAGAGTCTTCCAAGACTTTCCTTGAGAATTTGCATCCTCCATGAGTGGCCACATGCTGCCATAAAGCTTTAGGTGCTTCATAAAGGTGCCTGTGACTCTCTACTCTGTCTCTAACTTAGATCTTTCTTCCAATTTCCAGACCAAACTATCCAGCTTTCTGCTAGACTGTTCCATTTGGATGTCACAGAAAGGCCTCTAATTCAACATGTGCAAAATTATACTCCTTTCCTTCTCAAACCTTCCAAGCTTTGAGAGACCAGTTAGGAGGAGGGTCCCAGCTGCTGAAATCAGAAGGGGAGGCAGCTGCTTTGATATCTCGATGTGATCACCAGATTTCTTTGATTTAGCCATCAAGTTTTCCTTTCCATGCGCAGGTCTGACTCTGCCCTTCCAGTGTGGGGTCTCTGAGAGCCTCTGTGTGCTATTCCATCTTCCACTCTAGGACATTCACCTTCTAAAAGGTGGGCTTGATGTGGTACTGCTCAACTTTGGTCTAAAAACAGGATAAAATGGTTGACAATGATGGTTAACTGTTGATGAGCAGTCGCTGTAGACTGGACACTCAAGTGCAGTTTAGTAGTTTCTCATAGCTGCTAGACAGAACCACAAACTAGTGGCTCAAAATGACAAAAATTCATTCCCTCTTGGCTCTGAAGGCCTGACATCCCAAAACAAGGTGTGCACAGGGGTGCAACCCCTCTGGAGGCTCCAGGGCAGAATCTTTCCTACCTCCTGTTTCTGCTGGCTGTCAATATTCTTGACTTGTGGATAGATACATCAACGGGGAGGTCACATTGCCTCCCTCTTCTAAGGACATTTATAATTGCATTTCAAATCCATGAGTATGATCCATGATGACTGCTTCATTTTGCAATCCTTAATTGCATGTGCAAAAATCTCTTTTCCAAATAAGGTCAGATTCACAGGTTCTGGGATTTAGGATATACACATATCTTTTGGGGGCCATCATTCAGCACACTACAAGCATGTACACTTACCAATGCCTTTATTCCTCAAAATAAGGTAAGGTCAGGATTATTAGAGGTCATTAATACCTGCATTTTTCATCAGAATAGAACATCATAATATATATGGAAATTCTTTGTAAAGTATAATACATATACATATTAATTATATTAGTTTTATACTATTTTCAAAGCTTTATAAAATTTTTTTCATAACTGTGAACACCTTTGGTGGGTCCTAAGTTGAGCAGAGTAGGCTTAGGCACAGGGGGCCCCACTGAATTATCCTTAGTCATTTCCTCTTTATTTCAAATTTGTGTTTGAAATTTGCTGTCTCGGATTCTCATTCTGCCTGTTAAATCAGCCAAGAACATCCTTATCTCCCATGTTTCCCTGTCAAACTTCTACCAGATAAAATCCAAGTTCAGAAAGCTGTCTATGTGGTGAAATCTCTCCTTGACCTGTCCTTGCTGTCCCCTCTTCTCCTTTGAGGAAGAATCACATGCTCCTCATGGTTCCTGTGACACACAATCTTAATCTGATGTTCATAGGATACATAGCTCCTCCACTAGCTGTTAAGTTCCCCAAAGCCAGGACAGGATGTGTGTCCCAGTGCTAAGCACAGGACCTGGTCCATGGGAAGGCACGGGAAATGAGAGAGGAAGGAAACTATCAGCAAACTTCTCACTTCTCAGAAGTGAGAAGGGTACAGGGAAGTGTGRTCTCTGCAGAGATCCTTCCTGGTCCTCCTAAAAGCCCAAGGCAGAGGTTCCAATCAAACTAAGGGAGGCTTCTTTAAGAGCAGCTACTCAGGATTTTTTTTCTCCCTTCTCCACATTTGCAATTCTTTTCACAAAGATCATTTAAATCCACTATTGGAATAAAATGCTTTCAAGCCTAAAGTGATTCCCACCAAAGCAGGAGTCTCCAAGGATAATGCCAAGGCAAGAGTTCTCCCTCGGGGATGCTTCTGGGTGGACGCGAAGCTTAAACCAGTGTGAAGGCAGCAGGGAAGAGTCACAGATGAGCAGATCCCATTCCCTGCCTGGGGCCAGGGCCTGTTAAATTAAAAACGACCTGGCTGGGAGAGATGGGGAGATGAATACTAAGAAGTTCACAGATGACAGAAACCGTTAATGTTTAGCCAGGGCTCTCTATGCTAGGCAGGAGGCAGATAGCTTTTAAGAATATTGGGAAATTGGAAGATAAAGGATACTTTAGTGTCATTTTAATAGGATACAGGCTTGGAAACAAATTCAACCAATGGGAATAGCTCCAGTATTCTTGGGATGAGATGATGAGATCCTAGACAGTACCTATTATTAAAAAATTAGAGACATTCCAACCCAGTTGCTTATGAAATGTAAAAATCCACAGGTAACTGCCCAGATATTAAAAAAATGAGAGAATGAGTAAATTTAAATATATATATAGTAGGCCCCCCCCCCTTATGCACTCCCAGTGCATAGCCCTGGGTAGTGCTGACTCTATACACGAGCATTGTGATACTGCAGCTACATGACTTAACGTGCAGGTAGTGCATACAGTGTGGACACTCTACACAAAGGGGCAATTCACATTTCCAGCAGGATGGAGCTGGATGGCATGAGATTTCATCATGGTGCTCAGAATGGTGCACAATTTAAAACTTATGAATTGTTAATTTCTGGAATTCTTCATTTCATCTTTTTGGACCGTTGGTGTTGATCACAGGTATCCGACACCATGAAAGGTGAAACTACAGATAAGGAGGGACAACTGTATTCTCAAGTAATTTGGTGATACTTTGTTAAAAATAGGGAGTTGGGGTAGATCAGCTTGGGTGCTGCTAAATTCACAGCTGGTATCTTTCTGGAGCCATCGACAGTATTTGCCATGGATGATTCCTCCCTCCTTTGGAAGCACTTTCTTCTTTGGGCTCTCAGGACACCTGAGACATGCTCCTGGTTTTTCTTCATGCCAAACTGACTGTATTTTTCTCTGGCTGTTCTTCTCCTTGACCTTCGAGTGCCCGGGCTTCAGCCCTGGACTTCTCTTCCAACTCCACTCTGCCCCTCAATGCTCTTACCCACGCACATAATTGTCAATAACTTTTACACCACTGAATGTTACAATCATTATCACAAACGGTGAATTAGCATTGCACCAGGTGAATGGGAGTGTTTTTCCCCCAAGACACTGTTAGTTGGGACACTTGGTGTAATATGAGCCCGTTTTTTTTAAAACAAAATGGTGAGAACTAAATCACAATTTGTCTCTGTAATTGTACGTACACATAAATCCTCATGTGATTGCATATGAGGATTACGTGTATACAAGTATGGCGAGAAGCAGGCAGGGTTGTTCACTCGGCCTAGCCCAGAAAAGGATAATGACGGGTGGAGAGGAAAAGCAAAGAGGTGCCCGGGGTAAGAGCTGGCATGTCTAATATGGACTCCTGTGTATACAATCATTCCGTGTGTGCACAGATATACGTGATGTAATGGAAATGGGTCACTAGAAAGCAATAATGAACAAAGATAGAATTTCCATTAACTACTTCCTTCTTTATGGATTTTTATGTTTGGCTTGAATTCTTTAAAACAGTGGGTGCTAATGTTTGGGGAAAACAATAGGCCGTTCTTATTTTGAGATAAACTCAGTTAATTAAGTTGTGCTTCCTTTCTCTCCTATTCCAGGCCACCACTTGGCCTTTATGGCTCTTTAGACTGTAATATAAAATCACTATCCAGAAGGTTCCTGTCTTTTGAGAAATTATTTTAATTGTGCAACATTCAAGTGAGAATGTTGCACAATTAAAAAAAAAAAAAAAAACGGCTTTATTGTCCTTTCAGCAGGTGGCACCGACTGGGATTCCTATGCCACCAGGACGAAGACGGATTTCACCCGCAAGACAGGAGCAGTGCCCGCTTTGATCCGGTAGATCCCCCTTCAGTCAGCCCGACAGACACTCGCGGCTTGGTTCACTTGTCTTTTCCGATTCAGAATCCATAACAAATAGAGTAACTGGAGAAGGCATTAAAAAATGCAGTGGAGTAGGGCCATTGTGCCCACGGTTCCCCTCCAAGCATCTTGAAAGCCCCTCCTCTCAAACAGCAGCCAGACCTCCCACAGGACCACAGAGAAAGTGGTCCCACTAGTTCTTTACCACTGACCCAGCATTTAGGTTCTTTGACGACGGTGCCACCTGAGCACCATGCACAAATCAAAGCCACTCCCTGTTATAGAAGCAGGCCTCGACGACTGAATGAATGGCTGAGTGGATGAATGAATGCTTGTTGTCCCTACTGTCACCAACACTCATCTCTGGAAGCTGAAGGAAGTGCACAGTCCCCCTCTCCTTACCTGCACTCCTCCAGCTACGGCAGTGTCAGCTTGGAACTTCTCCATTCCCACCCAAGCTGAGGGCTGTGGGAATTCCTAGCCACCAGCTGCCTCTCTGAGCTCAGCAGGAGGGGAGTGCCAGGATATCCCTTCCGTCCCTGTTAGGTAGGTGTGGAGTCAGCCTAGAGAGCCTTCCTTGCTGGTGTTGACTCTGAATTGTTTCCCAAAAGGAGGATCTTTTCTCCTTGCAAGTTCAAGTTAGTGAGAAGTCAGATGGATTATGGGCACGTCCAAKCCAAGGCTGACCCTCGGTAGCTCTGCCCCACCCTTACCCTCAGGCGAGTAACAAATCATCCACGGCTCAGTTTTATTGGTGGAACAGGACTGATGATCCCTAAGAGAGTGTTTTGASGAGGAGGACACAGGTAAAGGACTAACACAGGGGGTTACTCAGTAATTTTCTTTCATTTCCCCTAGTAAAATATGATAGGCTCTCAAAAGTGCAAAGCTCCCAGACTCCCGATTTCTGAGTTACTGGTTACCCCCACGGGGCCACAACTAACTCCTTAATTGGGACATTTATCATTTGATTGAAATAAATTTGCCAGGTTCACAGGCGGTAACAGTTTTCTAAAGAAGAAGCATTTGGGTTAAAAGCCAAAAATAAAGATGTACTTGGAGAATCTAAGTCAGTGATTTTCAAACTCACATTTTTTTTAAAGTTCTCATACATTTAAATAGCTGCAGAAAATAAAACTTCCAGTCCATCCTAAATATTGACATTTTAAAATAAAAATTTTAAATGCAACCAATGCACAGTCTAAATGCCCTAGCAAATTAATACTCATTAGGATTCTTTTTTAAAAAAATACTCAAACAAGCTCTTTTTTGAAAACTCATTTCATTCCTTTTCCTTCTTCCACTCCACTTCCTCAATAGAATTTTCCCCTGCTATAATATATTTTATGCTTGAAAGCAACTTATTGTCCACTCGTGGTTCTTTGCAACTGTTTCAATATTTTAGTTGAAGTGAATTTTTAAACATGCTATGTGACTTTAAGTATCATCACCATTATTTTTAGTACCCAACTGCTCAGAGCAATAAATAAATTACAATGTTAATAATAATCATACTAAATACAAAAAGTAATTTTTGAAACTACATCCTCCCCACCACCATATGTCTATTTATGTATGTATTTTTCTTTCCTTTTTTTTTTTTTTTTTTTTAGATGAGGTCTCCCTGTGTTGCCTAGGCTGGCCTCAACCTCCTGGACTCAATCCTCGTGTGCCTCAGGCTCCYTAGTAACAGGGAGTCTAGGTGTGCACCACTATGCCTGGCTTAGAACTGCATCCTAAAAAGATAAATGGGCTGTTTTGCTTTCAGTTAGTTCATGCATTCAACTGTGAGTGTTATTGTTTTTAGAATGACCCATATGTAGCATCAGTTTTTCTGTTTCTTTTTTCCATTTTATAGGTGTTAGACTTGAGAAATTTTATTCATATATATGAAAAGGAATTTCAGCATAGCAGTGTCATCCAGTGCTCTGAACTTTTTTTTTTTTTTTTTTTTTTTTGTAGTAATAGGTAGGTATTGAACCACATAACCAGTCTTTTTTTTTAATTATTTTTTTTTATTTGCAATTTTGCAATAGGTTCTTCCTAGCTTGCTTAGGATGACCTTGAATTTGTGATCTTACTGCCTTAGCCTCCTGGGTAACTGGGATTGCAGTTGTGTGCTACTGAACCAGGCTCAGCACTCTGAACTCTTTCTTGGTTTTTGCTGAGTCAGAAATCACAAGGTGATTTTAATGACGGATCCTCCTCCTACTTGGTGGAGTAGTACTCCTCTGATTTTATTGAAAGCAAGTAATGAGATGATTTGTCATCCACTTATTGAGTTATTCCCGATTTCAGTTTCTGAGAAATATCCCAGAAGGCATGGCTTGAACAAATGACCATTAAGTTACACCGTTACCCTCTCCCTCGAAGGTAGCTAGCTTGCTTAATATTATATGGATTGGAACACAGAAACATTAATTTCAATAAATGTTTTCCAACACAATATTCTTTGTATAAAAGACTTTTATCATCACTTACTTTAAATATATTCTTATCAAAATCTTGGAGCTGAAGATTTAGCTCATACAGTTTATATCGCCTATAACTAGTTGGTTAAGTCAGTCCTATTTGTCAAACCAATGAGCGAAATTCGGTTCACTCCCTGTCAAAATCTACCTACTCTTTCAGTTCATATAAATGTTAATATATGTTTTGAGGAATGTTATGAAAATAACTGAAAAATAAATCATTGTATATATCTTTTATAGGGAAGGTTATAAAAATAGGGGAAGTACCAAAAGATTCAAGTCTGATAAATTAATTATATCTAAGTAACAAAAATAATGCATAAAATGTGCAAGTTACCTGTGAAGCAAGGGGTCTGATAAATATATGCTTTTTTAAAAAAAAAGTTAAATGTGTTCTCATGTCTGCAGAACTCTGGTGTTTGACTTTCAGTAATCATTAAATTATAGTCACATGTGAAAGTCAGGAAGAGTTTCATTGATTTCATTAGACATCAGGCATTTCCTATGCATTTAATGAAGGAAAAAGTTATACAGTATGAAAATTAATTGGTCTGACAAGCCAGCATATGTTTTTACTTACTGTTAAGTATTTTATTTTTAAATAATTTACAGCATAAAAGGAAATAAGGATTGGCTACACTGGAGTAAATATTTAAAAAAATAAGATTTAAATACCTTACTAAGTGATGAATACAAGATCTAGAAAAAAATCCCACAAGATTTTAATCTACCAGTTTTTACCCAGTAATCTTTAAAAAGTGTGATGTCCCAGAAAAGATTCTAGTTATATTTAAAGCGATCATCATCACCAACTTGTACTGCTTCCCCACTCGACATGTTTTTCTTTCCAGCTAATGACATTTCCCAGGGATTTTTTTTTTTTAAGCTGAAAAAATGCTTATCTTTAAGTACATGAGGAAAAAAGCCATTTGGAGCATTCTACATGCTCTTAGAGCCTCTCCCTGAAGATGGATGAGTAGTTGGCAATTAGTAGGAGACAGAAAACTGGGCAGGACTTTGAAGCACGCCTACCAAAATCTGTAACACCCCACACAGGAGGCGATGCCCGGTTACAGCACCATCTCTCACTCTGCAGAAACTCCTAGATAAGACAAGCCCTGGACAAGGGTGTGGAGCTCCAATGACCAGGAGGCCTCTCTGGCCAAGCTGCCCCTTGGGTATACCCCTTTGCCTCTCTGGAGGCAATGCACCCTAGAAAGATCCTACTGATAATGTAGGAAAGAGAGCCCTGGGAAAGGGGCGTGGTAAAGAAGGAAAGGATTTGCTTACATAGTCAGCACCCACCCCTCCCCACCTATCAGGCAGACATAATTTAGGAAAAAAAATATTGAGAAATTGAGATCTGAAAACTAATTCCTTTAAAGCTATTTCTGCTGTGTCCCTTTTGGAGAATCTCCCTCCAGTTTATATCTGAATGACAGGAAAATCATCAATCATCCAGATGTGCCCAACTTCCCAGATGTTTGTTTCTTTCGAACACATGAATCTGCTTAGACTCTTAAAAAAATTTTTTTTTAAAAAAAGTCAATGTGAACTATTTTAAACACGCACAAAGGAATAAACACAATCACCATCTATGACAATAAACATACTGGATTTTGTCAAGATCAATTCAAGGCATATCATTTTAATTCTGAATATTTTCTATGTATCAAAATAGAATCCCCAAATCGGAGGCTTTAAAAATATAATTTCATTATTTCATCCTCAAAAAAAAAATCAATCCCTTAGTATCGAATAGCCAGTCAGCAATCAAATTTATTCCAAAAATTTGTCTCAAAATTTTAAAAAGGTTTGAAGTAGAATCCAAAGTCCACACATTACTTTTGGTTATTATGTCTCCTTTCTCATTTAATCTACCTCTGCACTTTTTTTTTTCTCCCTGACCATTTTTTTTTCTGAAGAAACAGAATCATTGTTTGGAATTTTTCTGATTCCATTCCCATCATGTGTTTTAAAATATTTCTCTTCTCTTCCATTTCTTGTAATTCAATATTCTGCAGACTTCATTTGATTCAGATTCCATATTTTGGCAAAAACATTTAACAGGTGGAGGTGAGTATATTCAACCAGAAGCACATCACACCCGGTGAACCCCTCCTTTTGAGTTCTAGGTGACATGGCTGATCATGGCCTAGATGCATCATTTCATTGAGGACTTGCAAGCCAAAAATGAACATCCTAATTTGCTTCTTTTTGTCTCTGGAATTAATCTTTTCCTTACCAACTCTGTGGTTAGATTGAGGTACTTTTTGTCTATGAGAGTATCTTTAAAAAATATCATAAACTTAGGTTGTTATTCTTAATTTCATTTTAGATCCCTGTACATTTGCTAAAGCCATCCTACAATTGTCACAGAATCGTTTCTTATCAGGGAACCCTCAAATTAAATTATATCTGGCATCAAGTCTTAAGTTAACCCATCTTTAAAAAATATATCATTAATCAAATGGTTTGACATGTGCACTATTGTGAGATCTGGCATTTAATCCCTTACTCTATTTTCTACTTTTTTTGTAGTCAAAAAAGTATCAGAAGATTAGGATATGCATATGCACTTAGTGATCCCATTCTGAATACACGATACAGTGACGAGTACGTTTGGAAATCATATTCTAAGGAAAATACCATAAAAAATGGGTCTTCAAGAGGACTAAGGAGACACAAAAAAGTAAGCCAATCAAGTAAGATAATAGCTCTATATGTGTCGAATTTAATACTGTGTCAACAATCCATGAGAATAAGAGTTTGAATATGTCACAAACACTCTTCACTTTCTTCTGTGATGAGCTATATGGTCCTTCTGGGACGATTTCCTTCCTACCTTCTCATCTTTATTTCTAACCATGTTATCTCTATCTCTATTTATTTCTCTGTTTTGTTGCAGAACATTTTTATGATCCCAGAAAAAAACAAAACAACACATGCCCATTAAAGAGTGACCCACCGCCCCCCCAAAAATCCCTGTCACCTTCCCCTTAGAAACCACCTATTTGCTTTCTATCTCTATGAATTACCTATTATGAGTAGTTTACATGTGGAATCATACAACAGGTAACCTTTTGTGCCTGACTTCTTTCACTTAGTATAATATTTTTGAAGTTCACCTCTGGGGTGGCAAGTACCAGTGCTTTCTGTGATGGAATACTGTTGTATGTATAGGCCACAATTTATTTGTCCATACCACCCTGTTGGATGTTTGGGTTGATTCCACCTTGTAGCTTTGGTGAAAGATGTGAAAGATGAAGAAGAGAGAGGGAAGGAGGATGTTCATATTTCTTTCTCGGAGGCTGGGTGTGTGCTGATGCTGTTTTCTGAGCTGGAACATGGTGGAAGACCAGGTTTGATGGGGAAAGGAATAAGAGGGAATGGGAGTTCTGGTGAAGATCTGTTCGGCAGGCAGGCAGCTGCACATAGAGGTCTGGAGCTCCTGTGAGTGGGAAGCTGGAGAGGTAAACTTGGGAATCCTTAGAACATACACTCATACCCCATCTAACTTGGTTCCTCGTGGCACACTTTCATTATCATCTATATGTGTCTTAAGTATTTTCCTTAAAATCCTAAAATAAATATGAAAGAGTTAATTACATTATGCTGTATTTGTATGTGTATACATACAAATAGACATGTGATTCATTTATCTAAGTGCTATCCAAGGCTCTCACCCTGAGAGCTAGCATGGCTGCCTCCCTGTGTTCTCTCAGCCAATGAGAGCTGGTGTGAGTTGGTGCGGCCGACTGTCGTTTGTGCTCTCAGCCAATGAGAGCTAGTGTTATAGATGGTCCTTTGTACTTTGAGCCAATGAGTTTTTTTTTTTTAATGAATTTTTTTAATATTTATTTTTTAGTTCTCGGTGGACACAACATCTTTGTTGGTATGTGGTGCTGAGGATCGAACCCGGGCCACACGCATGCCAGGCGAGCGCGCTACCCCTTGAGCCACATCCCCAGCCCCGAGCCAATGAGTTTTGGCAAGTCAGATTTGTTGACCCTACTGATCTGGTCACTGAGCCTCAACAACTGTTACCAAAGAGAAATAGCAATATAATTTCAATATCATTTCCCATGATCTTGCTGAACACCACTTAGAGAATGGTCCAAGAGATCCACCCTGAATCTGAATCCTAAAGACTTTTTAAATGGCACTGTGGGTATGTAATCAACAAAATCCAGACTTGGAACCTCTATGCATCAAAGAGCTGCTTCAATAGATGCTGGCATATTTACAATTGGTTTCTTCAGTAGATAAATGATAAGAGAAAGAAGGGGATTGAGAGGGAACCTGAAGATTAAAAGAGACTTAAAAGATAATTTGGAAACAGTATGAATATATAACTATTCCCAGGAACTTAGGCAAAGAGAAGGGTTTCTTTACAAGGTAGAAGAAATAAAGGCAGCCACCCAACAGAGAGGAAGACACTGAAGTTTCTAGAAGTGAGGGTCGCTGGAGCACACTACAGGGAACTGGATCTAGCTGCCCAAGTGGGTTGGGTCCTGTTGGCAGCACTGCAGGTACTCTCATCAGAGATGCCAGGGCAGGTGTGGCAGATGGGAGTTGGTGTACAGAGCTTCTCTCCTGATGGCTTCCATTTTCCTAGGGAGCTAGGGAGTGAGGTCATGAAAGAGGAAGACGGCAGCAGGGAGTGCAGGTTTCACGTTTTGTAATCCTAGAATTGCTTTGGAGGTAAAGAGGAGACAGTGCCTTTTCTCTCCTGACCCCCACAGTGTTGCTAAGGCCTCTGCCTGTGAGCCAGGGTTTCTCTCTGAGATGTTTCTCTCTAGGACTCCCAAGGGGAAAGCAGCCACTGTCTCTGCTCTTTTGGGACCAGGTAGCCAGAACTAGAATAGTATGGGTTTTCTCCTTTTTTGGTCTTATCTGTAGGAGAATTCTTTTTAGAAGCACAATTTTTTGGTGCTTGCAATCACATTTTTTTTTTTTCATCAGTGTGAAAAGTCAAAGAAATGCACAACTAACTGTGCTACAGCTAGGTAAACCAATGGATCTCATTAACAGGCTCCCTGCACTCAGGCAACCAGAGAGTTCTAACTGGATATAAAGGATTCCAGAGACTATGTCCACACCAATGCTCGTATTCTTGATTCCATTAGGTGAATCTGTATCAATTTTGTTGAAAATTGTATTTGCATTGATAGGGCTACATTGAATGGACACTACCTCCAGAGCAACCAAGTGAGACAAGAAGGGGCTGCGTTCCTTGGAAAATTCCTGCTTCTATGGAAGAAATTAAGAAGGCCATAGCAAATCAGTTTGTTTCCCACACCAAGAGAGATTTTGTGGATCTAGACAAAGGTAAACGTGTTTGTTTTCCTCTGGACCCTGATCATGTACTGGTCAATGAGTTGCAGTAGTTAGCAGCATGGTTGTGGTCCCTTCCCTTGAGGAACTCACAATCTAGACATGAAACAGGAAATGTCATGTGCAAAAAGAGTCAGGCATAAACAGGTGCATGTTTTAAGAAATGCAGGTTTCCATGGGCACAACATAAAACATCACGAGGTGGTGAAGTGGGAGGTGGAAGTGGAGGTCAGGAAAGGCTTCCCTTCTGGACCTGAAGGATGAAGAGAAATGATCCAGGTAAACATGAAGGGGGTGGGGGAGAGTGTCACTTTTGTCTTGTGAAGGCATAGAGGAACATTTGAGGAACTAAAAGGACTTCATGTGTAGAGATGAAGTCAAGGGCAAGTGGGAGGAATGAGAGAAGAAATCAGCACAGGCAAAGAGAATTCAGTTTGAAAGGGTGATCTAAAGCACAGGAATATCCCAGGAGCAATCAAAAGGTTCATATTAGAGTGGCGATATAGTTCAGATGTAGACTCTAGCATGAAGGGGGTAGTCCTGACTAGAGGAAAGAGGCCACCAAGAGGTTGTCAAAACAGTCCCCCGGGGGGGAGTAGTGCCTGAAGCAGGGCTGTGCAGTGGGGATGGAGGTGTGGCACCAGCAGGATGATGATATGGGCACTTCTGTCCACATCAGCATGGTGGAGGATGGTTTACCTGTTTAAGACAGTGTACCACCAGTGCCCACTCCAGTGTCTGATTCATCATAAGCATGAAAAGAAATATTGGTAGAACAAATGAATGAACCATAGGGTTGAGTGACTGGTGGATGACAGGGATAAGGAAGTCAAAGGAGCCAGCTAACTAAGGATGGGATGGGATGGTGTGGGACCTTTTGTACACAGGTATAAAAAACAATAGAGGGTTAATCAAGGCCCACTTCAATTTCTCTGTAGCTCAGAGGTAGAGTCTAGCACTCTTTTCATGCTGCCTCCTAGAAAAACACATGCCTCTTTCTAGAATTGGACTTTTGCTATACAAATCTTCCCCTGCAAGAATCTAGATTCTCCCATGATTCACTTGGCTCTGCCCTTTAGGATTCTGTAGCTGGGATAACATTTGCCTTGGTTTTCTGTAGGGTAAGTGGAGATGATGCCATAACTGTCGCCATTTCTCAGGGGACTCAAATCAACTTTGTGGAGTCAGACCCATTTTCCAGAAATGACATATATATACATACAGTGCAATTTTGGTCTTTTATATAGGCAAGAAGTTTGCTTTATGAGAATTCATGAAAATTGATCATAGGTGTTTTAAAACTCTTCCCTGTAGTGGAGAATGCAGTGCTCTCTGGTTGGCTGCTCCAAGCCTTGTGACAAAATGGCGGTTGGAGCCTGGTGCTCTCCCACCTCTTTGGTAAGAACACATGGCCCTGAGGAAGCTTGGCAGCCTTGTGGATTTTGAACATAAACTGTGGAGCACGGAGGGCCCCTATCTCCCTGAGACTCTGGATGTCAAGGGAGGATCATGATGCCTATGTTGTCCTCTGTCTCCACCTTCATTCCTGCCCCCTCCGTCTCAACAGCTCAGTCCACCCTGGAGAACTCAGGTTGCTCCTCCCTTCTCCCTGAACAGGAGCTACTCTGCTCCAGTTATCTGGCTTTTCCTCCTAAACCACCTTTCCGTCTGTCTCTGTGGCATCCTTGTCCCCCCCACCAGCGTTCACTCGGCTCTAGTGCAGTGTTTAAAATACCAAACAAGAACAAGAGCTTTTCCTGACTCACGTCTCTGTTTGGCAACTGTGCATTTCTCTGATTCTCTTCACAAAAACTGCTAATGTTTACTAACCCCTTAGTTTTTCATAATTTAACACATTGAATCTTCATAACAAGCGATGAAGTTATCACCCCCAATCCAAGATGAGAAATCTGACTCAGAGGGTGAAGCAACCTGCCCATGATCACCCAGCTAGTGACAGGTGCAGTCTAGGATATGAACCCTGTGTCAAACCCACATCCCTAGCTGGGCACACTGGTGCATGTCTATTGTCCTACCTACTCGAGAGGCTGAGGTGGCAGGTTTGCTTGAGTCCAGGAACTCGGGGCCAGCCTGGGCAATATAGCAAGACCCCATCTAAAACAACAAAGCCAACAAAAACAGAAACATCTGCGTCTTTCGGAGTTAAATTATATATGCTATTTCCAATTCTTAACTTGTTGATCACTATTTTTAAAAACTAAAAGTTATTTTTATTAAACAAATACATGCATATATTTAAGTGGTTACTCAGACGTATAAAGAAATCACAATGGTTCCTGACCTGCCACTTTCCACTGACACCCTTACCTGCCCTGAGTGATCAATTTTAATCCTCTTAATAGTTTCTTCTTATGTGATTCCCCATAATTTTAAATACTGCTGCTATTTTTAAGTCACCAATTTTAGGCATTATTACTGATCCTGCTGTAGGTAGTGGAGGATCTGGTACTATAACTATTTCTCTTACCTCCTCCATTCAGCCTTTCAGTAGAATTATATTCCAAATTTTTGGTTACATTACATCATTACTGCTTACATTATGATTATAATGACAGGACATATTATGATCACATAATATGATATGATTATGTAACATTTATCACTGAGCCAGTGTGTATTACACGATTATTATTTTTTATTTGTTTTTACCATTTAATATTTGACTTTGTTTCCATATACCTTATTTTCTATGTGCCTTTCACTACTTTTCCCCCAAATACTTTGTCATACACTTGCCAAGATTTTTTCCAACAGTACGTTCTGTCCATTCTAGTAGTTCTCCTGGAGATCCTCTGATCCGCCCCCGACCCCTCTCTCCGCCATCATTGTCCTCTAATCTAGGCTAGCTGAGTCTAGATTAGTTAGTCTAACCATTAAAATATATGTCTACATTTATTTAATAAAAGTAACTTTTAATTCTTAAAAATAGTGATCAACAAGAATTGGAAAATAGCATATGTAATTTGACCCTTAAAGGAATTTTAAGGGTGAAAGACATAGATGTTTCTGTTTTTGTTTGCTTCGTTTTTTTACATGGGGTCTTGCTGTATTGCCCAGGCTGGCCCCTAGCTCCTGGACTCAATTGGTCATTCCATAGGTTTGCCACCCAACTGGGCCCAGGACCTTCTTTTTCATCATTCTGGAAATTTTCTTTTGTATCTTCCCTGCAATGGATCCCCTGTTTCCTGAGTCCACATCTTTCCTTTTCTTTCCTCCTTTTATTTTGCTGAAGGGAGAAATGGTTTTGCCAATCTGGGAAAGTCTTTTTYACTTTGCTACATCTGTTTGATAGTTTGGCTGGATACAGATTCTGGGTTGATGATTATTTTCCCTCAGAACACATTCTTCCAAATATGTTCTAGCATCTAGGATACAGAAGACTGATGCTATCTTAATTTCTGATCCTTTTGTATTTTTTTTCTTGGAAACTTTTTTAAAAAGTTCAGAGCTTCTTTGGCTCAGGTTTTCAGAAGATAAATTTCTAGTTAGGAAGTGTTATGGCTCAGATATGAGGTGTCACCCGAAGGCTCCTGTGTGAACGCAGGAATGTTTGAAGTGAAGTGATTGAATCCTGAAAGCTGTCACTCATCAGTTCCTCCTAGATTGAATGGACTGAGTGATATCTGCAGGCAGGGGGGGCATGAGTGGAGGAGGTGGGTCGCTGGGGTGTGCCCTGCAAGGGTGCATCTTCCCTGTGTTCCCTTTCCTCGTCTCTTTCTGTTTTCTACCCCACCCTGAACTGTGCAGCTTTCCTCCACTGGGCTCTTCCCCCATGATGTCCTGCCTCCTCTTGGGCCTAGAGCAATGGAGTTAGCCATCTGTGGACTGAGACCTCTGCAACTGTGAGCCACAAATAAACATTTTCTAAGTTGTTCTTGTTGGGCATTTTGGTCACAGCGTTGCAAGTTGTCTTAGTCAGCTTTTCACTGCTGTGACTATAGGACCAAATCAGAACAACTGTGGAGGAGGAAAAGTTTATTTGAGGACTCACGGTTTCAGAGGTCTGAGTCCATAGAAGGTCGGCTCCATTCCCCAGGGATGAGGTGAGGCAGAACATCATGGTAGAAGTGTGTGGCAGAAGGAAGCAGCTCACATGATGATCAGAGAGCAGAGAGCGAGAGTCTCTACTGCCAGATACAAATATGCACCCCAAAAGCCACACCCCAATTCCCACCTCCTCCAGCCACACCCTACCACTTTGATTACCATTCAGTTAATTCTTATCAGGGGATTAATTCACTGATCATGTTAAGACTCTTGTAACCCAATCATTTCTCCTCTGAACCTTCTTGCATTGTCTCACATGTGAGCTTTTGGGGGACACCTCACATCCAAACCATACCATGTCGTAACTCATTTTCTGCTGCTGTAACAGAGTACCCGAGACTGGGTAAATTATAAACAAAGAAGATTTGGGGCTAGTGGTTCTGAAGGCTGGGAAGTCCAAGATTAGGGGCTGCATCTGGTGAGGGCCTGCATGACGCATCATCACGTGATGGAAGGCATTGCATGATGAAAGGACATGAAAGCAAGAGAGGAAGGGTGGTTTCCAAATTTATCAAGAGTCCACTCCTGCAATAACTAACCCAGTCCCCCATAATCTTATTAATCCTTTTCTGCCCTTGTGATTTAATCACCTCTTAAAGGTCTCACCTCTTAATACCGTCACTGTTGCAATTACATTTCAATATGAGTTCGGAGGGGACTTTCAAACCACAGTAGGAAGGGGCCATCGTCATATGACTGCATGGGTTAAGAAGGTGAAGCAAGGAACCACTCTGCATCCAAGCTTCCAGCCAGGCCTCTAAGTCCAGTCCTGAGCCTCACACCCTGTCTTCCACGGTAGCTGTCATATCCAAGTCTGAGCCTGCTGGAGTTCCATACAGTGGCTTAGCTCACTTATCTGTTATTTCCTTCTGCAGTCCCTAGGATTCCGCTTCCTCTGCTTTGCTCATTCAGTTGCTGTATCTTGTTTGCTCTTCAGCATCTGGCCAAGTGTCAGCATGTTTCCCGTACAGTCACTCTGATGACGTTTGGGCATGGAAGGGTCCTAAAGGCAGGAATACAGTGGAGACAATCCCCTGGGTTCAATGTGAGATACTGCTAACCCTTTGAATTTTCAACCCCCTCCAGGTTGGGTTTTGTCCCCATCCAGTTATTGAAACTCCTCTTGTCAAGGTGCTCGATGGCCCTTCATTAGGATCTTCCCATTTGCGTCTTTCCCAGCCCGTGAGCAGCAGTCAGTATTGCTGGCCACTCGCTCGCTCTTGGAACACCTTGGGACACCCTTCTCTTTGAACTTCTGTGTTGTCACCTTCTCCCTGTGATTTCCTATTTTTTGTCTCTTACTTTCTGGTCATTTTTCCATTTGGTATCTGCTAGAGATCCTGATTCCTTAAGTAGCAGCTATCCTGGACTCCCACATTCGGGTCTCTCCCCCAGACCTCTCAGTTCCATATATTTGGAGAAGTCTAGGAGGGTCCCAACACATGGCCTCCTTTCCCTCAACTGATCTTATGTTACCTGTTGGACCCTCCAGTCCCTCCCCCACAAGGCAGATGGATGATCTTTAAACATCTAGACTGGATCCCGTTATTCTATGGCCTCTTTCCACTGACTTTCTATCCTTCGTCTCATTTCATCTAGCCTGTTGCACTTTGAAATCATTTGTTCCTGATTCTTGTCTTTTGTTGTTCTTGTTTTACTCCTTCATCTCTGATGCAGTAAGTTGCCCACTCGGGGCTTAGTGCAGGGCCTGGTGGATAGAAGAAGCCCGGGACATATTTGTTGAAAGTCAGAGAGAATATATGGGAAATGCCCTTCTTGAGATTATAGATGGGCACGGGGTCAAAAGACCAGTGTACCTGCAGATAAACAAAAAGGATCGAGGAAAAACATTGGAAATGCCAAAATTCTTCAAGATGTCTTTGGGTTTTCATCAAAGTTGTCCATTCAGCGAATCACCATGTCCCCCAAGTGCTGGTAAATATTCAGGACCTGTCAAGACTCCCTCCTAAATTTCTCAAATCCATCTGTTTCTCTAGCTGCCCACAGCCCTGCCTTAATTACCAGTGTCTACCTTGGATGACCTCTGATCCAATTCCCTTTTCTAGTTCCTTCCCCCAACCCACTGTGCATACTACAGTCACAGTGAACTTCTGGAGGTGAAAACCAAGGTCACCTAGGCTCTACTTCCCTTTAGGGACTCCCCCATAGTCCTCTGGACAGCAGCTAAATGCCTTAATTTGCATAATGGATACCCTTGCCCCTGTCCAGCCTCCCCCCAGTCTCCCCCCGCCTGTCCCCACAACCCTCTTGAGACTGCACTGCTGCCCACACTCTCCACAGCCCCCTCCTGCCTGCACGCGTTGTTGCTTCCTGTGCAGAGTGTCCCCCTTCCTCCTGTCAGCATGTCTGCCCACCACTGGAGTCTACACGCAGGTGTCATTTCTGTCCTGGAAGCTTCTCTGGTCTCCAGTTTTGTCTCAGTGGCTGTCCCAACTGTTTTCGTAGCCCCATTCTAACCTCTTTTGGAGGACTTATCACATAGCATTGCATTTATCACATAGTGTTGCGGTTATGTTCTGTGTGCTTATTTTCTCTAAGACTTTAAGCTTCTGAGGCATGGGGACTGTGTCTTAGCTTGGTATCCTCATTATTGAATATTGAATTAAGGCAAATGAATGAGAAGCACCAAAAGGTGCTTTTTTGTTTGTTGTTTGGTTGGTTGGTACTGGGGATTGAACCCAAGGATGCTTTACTGTTGAGCTACATCCCCTGTTGTTTTCATTTTTAAAAAAATTTGAATCAGGATCTCAACTGAGTTGCTCAGGCTGGTCTCAAATTTGTAATCCTCCTGCCTCAGCCTCCCAAGTTGCTGGGATTACAGGCACATGCCACCATACCCAGCAAGATGCTTGTTTTCACATTCACACTTGGAGAACTTGGCTTTGATGAGTTAGAACAGTTGGTAAAGACACTAGAACCACATCCCACTTGGCTTTAGAGTATCGCTGCCGATGGTCCTAATTGTTTTGAATGTTCCTTGCTCTACATTCCTTTTGGCTTGAGCCTTTCTGCAGAGCCCTGCCTGATCTAAATGGGCCGGTTTCCTTTTTAGGGAAAATTTACTGGTACAGTTTTCAAGTGGAGAGAAACCAAAGGGAACTGAGCCTCTGAGGAGCACAGATGACCCCTTGGGTGAGGCCTTCAGCCAGCTTAGCTCTGGATCATGGTTACCTCATCTGTCTCTACTTCAGTACCAGGATGGGGGGGCTTCAGTCATTCATTTGGTCCCTTTGTATGAAGAACCTCCCTTCTTAGTAATGCCTGAAGGAGCTCATTAACAAGAAACTTTTATGAAGACAACAAATGTATTAGCTGAGAAACACTAAGCCCAGGCTACGGAGGAAGATGACACAGTAGACTGGGAGTTACCTGACACATATATCACAGAGGCAGTTGCCAGAGTGCGGTTCAAAAGACTTTAAGTGCTAATCCATAGCAATCATGTTTCCGGCTGGTTTTTGTCATTCACTCATAAATTTAGTAAATATTTAATGAGGCCTATTAATGTGATGAGTACAGAGAATAAATGAAGAATAAAGCTTAATCTCTGCCTTCAGAGGAACTTAAAGTATGTGTAGGTCCCGAGTTGTGCCTTTTCTAGGTCCTCATCTCCACTGATCCCACTTCTGTGCTGGTCCATCCTGGTCCATGTAAAAAGACCTCCAAGACTCTCCCCAGCCAGCTCCCAAGTCACTTCTCCGCGTCACCCTCAACTCCTCCTCCTGCCCAGGGCGCCCTGCACTCCGCCAGCCACACACCAGGGGCCCACTGTGTGTTTCGCCCCATGCTGACCCTCTGTCAGGGCCCCTCCCAGCGTCTATCTGCCATGCATGCGTCTTCCTCCTCTTTCACTCTCCTCTGGGCTTCCGTGGCACCCTGTGCAGAGCTCTGACTCAGTGATTCCTAAAAACACGGGAAGTCTGTTCACAGTGAAGAGCCTGGCACTCCCACTTCGGGAGCTGCTCAGCGTCTGAGATGAGGATCCACAGGGATCTGTTCTAGAGACCCTTCCCGGGAGATTCCGGCCTCTCCACAGTTCCTCCTGTTGTGGTTGCAAGACTTCTCGTGTCCCATATCTGTTGGTCCTGGAGAGATCTCTTTAATCACACTGGTTTGGGGTTGTCTGAAGGTAGAACGATGACTTCATTATTGATCACCTTGGCAAGCAGCACACAACACATCTGGGGAATGAAAACATTCGCTATTGAATGGTTGCCCTGGGGGACAGGGAGAGAGACACAGGCATGATGTATTTCAACATAAACTTGTTTTTCTCCTATAAAGCTATTAGTAAATGGCAAAAAACAAGTTAGAGATGCAAGTTACTGGGAACAATACCAGATGGTTTTCCAAAGTATCTCCATGGGCAGTTTCTGAGGTCATTTTGAGGCCATTGAGCACCTGCATCTTTTTTCTCCTGGGTCATCCAAAGTTAGAGGTAGCTTGGTGCAATGAACTTCACCTTCGCTGGTCTAGACAGAGAGCTTATTTTAAAAAAATCAGTATTTTAAATGTTGTCATGTGCTGGTAGATGCAATAATGTTTCCTTTGATACACAGTGTAGACCAGTAGATGCCATTGTATGAACCCTTTGACGTACAGTGTTTATTAGAATTTTATTTGGAAAAGACCTATTGAAGATTAGTTTCCAAGAGAATTGAGTTTAGTGTCAACAAGCATTTCCACTGTTTAGACATTGCTCATGAAACCCATCTTTTTAACATCTTTATCTTTCTGAATAAAGATGGTGTTTTATAATATGCCCCCGAACTAAGGCTTTGCCAGCAAAAACGAAGGGTGAACATAACTAAATGAGTTGGCTTGTGGCTCCTCTGTCATGTTTTTGAAACTCATGTTTAATCAGTGCTTCATTTAATGATGGTATACTTAATGAATGTTTTTAGTAGATTATTATTTCAAACAAATAATGTTATTATCACTAATAACAATGATGTCCCCTAGCCCTCTACCAGATAAGCTTTCAATGGTTCTTTTCCAGGTAATGAGGATGACACATACCACCCCATCTGGGGTTGACAGGTTAAGCAAATAAAGATATAAGCTGCCCAGTTAAATATGAATAATGATATGTAGTAGATAATGAGTAATTACTCATATGAAAAAAGTATTCATTGTTTGTCTGAAATTCAAATTAAACTGGGCATCCTGTGTTTCAAATGGCAACATGAGTCATATCCAAAATCTTTATCCCTTCTCCCTCTCTGCCCCTCACCCCTGCTCCAGAGACTGGCAGGGGGATAATCAACGCCTTCTGTGCTCACAGAGCAGAACAAGGGGTACTCTAAGGGGCAGACAGATATATTCATTAGGGACTGCTTATAATTATGTGAGGATACCCTATCTTCTGAGAAAGCAGAAAATAAGTTAAGTATTCATAAAAAGCACACTGACCATTCTTCTAAATACAAGAGGCGTGTGTGTGTGTGTGTGGGGGGGTGGGGATGAGGGGTCTGTCTGACAAATTGGAAGCTACTGCCAGAAGCAAAAAGGAAAGAAATGCTACTCAGAAATAGGTTACAAGGAGTATTTTTTTTTAATTTCTTCCCTTTTCCATTCTACCCCAGTTCAGGAGATTAAGAACAGTTCTCCGGTGTGTTTGGACTGGAAAAAGTACCTTCCCCGGCCCCCAGACACTGAATTTCGACGGAATTACCAAATTCCAGCTAAACTTCCTGAGTCGCAGGATTTTAGCTTCCGATATGGATGCTACTCCAACCTGTCAGCTGCTTCTAAAGGWCTAGGTAAGTACACCTGTGGTTTTAAAAATAACTCCAGAGATCCCGTAGATACCACGCAAGGGCTTGCTCCCTGGCACACACGGAAGCCGGTACCGTGGCACAGGTTTTTGCACAAAGAGAGAAATTTATTGTATATCAGTCAACAAGGGGGTGGGAGGAGGCCTACTCAGATCTGTCTCCCTGATGGCCCTTAGCAAAGGAATTGAAGTTTAGCAGGGGTGAGGAGTAAGAGGGCTGCCTGGGTGTAATGCCGAGTCTTTGTGGAGCAGTCTGCACCCTGCACACCAGGCCAGGTGTAACTTGTGGATGCTTTGTGATTGGGCCGTGATCCTGGCGGGCAGTCCGAACCTTGCTGGGTTCAGAGGGCACCCTCCCTCCCTCCAGCGTCTTCAGATTTAGCACTCATCTGTTTGAGTGTTCTTGGGCAATCTCGAAAGTGTTTAAAAGTTCCATGACCAAGTCCTCTCCAAGCTTTTGGTTAAGAAGAAAACTTGGTGTCTTCTGAAGAAGAATTGGGACCAGATGGTCCCTGAGACAGAAGAATTGCTGAGTGGAAGCCTAGCATCCTGGGGCTAAAGGGTAGTCCAGAAGATACCTCGTCTAGAGCCTCAGGGCACTCGTGAATTGCCTGCACCTCATCCTTGCTGAGGGTTGACGTGCCCCTCGCATTCAGGGTGTGCTCCATGTTCCAAGCCTTGCACTGTTCCCATAGCTGGAATATTCCCTGCTAAACTTCTAGTCATTGATTCTGCTTCTTTTCATGGGGGTTAACTAGTAGCAGAAATCTATTATTCTATATAAAGGTCATCGTAGAACTTCTTAGTCGTCTTCTTTTCCAGTTAAAGCATTTCCAGACCCTACAGACACTCATCTCAGGAAGGAGCATCAAAACCCCTCAATAGTTTGGTCCTTTTATGTGGCCAATGGCCCCTTTAATAGGGGAACCTGAGACTGGAAACAGTATTGAAGGTGTTTCCAAAGTTTACCAAAAGCTTGAGAAAGTTGTAGAAATTGGATTTTTGTATCACGTCTTCATTTTAAAAACATGTTAGCTCTATAAGTATCAGAATCCACATTAGAATAACAATATTCATTATATAAGTGCCTTGGGGTTGCCCACACCTCTTACCTCTCCTAGTCTGAACGGACAGTGAGTGCTGGCTGTAAATATCATCTTTCTTCCAAACTGCTCATCCCAAGACTGATTCCCAGGCCACCGGAAGGAGGTGTCTCAGTGTACCAACCCAAGTTTGCACAGGACATGTCCTGAAAGACAAAGGTGTTTCTAGGAAGGTGGTTGTTTATTAACCTGGTGGTGCCCACTGCCATCCCAACACACTGACCTGCATATGAGCTCACGTCAGAACAACTTCTTGTGCCCCATCCCTCCCTCTTCTAATGGCAACGGTCTGGAAGTCGCAGCAGCTTTGCACAGCCCCTAGTTACTGGAGGAAGCAGACTCACACAGCACCTTAGTTTCCAGCGTCGTGAAGTATGCAGAGTGATGCAGAGTGACCTCCAACTGCGGTCAGGGTTGCCAGGGGCAGGTTCTAACAAGCGGGACAAGAGTTCTCTGCTTGGGTGACAGCCGCTGCGTCGGTCCTTCCCTTGTGTTTCTGTAGTCCCTTCGGTGCTACACAGCTACATGAGGACCCAAGAACGTACAAAGAAGCAGACCACTTACCAAAGCGACTACGGGAAGGACCGCCTGGACTTCTTAATGATCCTGAACTCCATCACGCCCCGGCAAATCAATAACTACCTTAAGACTGTTTCTGACAAAGGTGAGATGGAGTCTGAAGTTTCCCATTTCATTTACAGATCGTAGCACATTGCTTTATACTAAAATAGCAATTGTCCCCATTTCTAGCCATAAAAAATTGCTTTAAAAAAAAAAATCCCCAAGTGTTGCGTGAACCTCAACCTATTGAGAACCTTTTCCCTAAGAGAGGCCCAGTGACTTTTTTCCCACTTATTAAAAAGGAGGTAGAGCTCTCCACTCATTCCCAATCCATTTTGCCTGCAGTTGAATGATTCCAGGATGGCTTCTCTTTTTCTTCCAGCTAATTGATTTCTCTAGTGGATGACTGTATTATCTCATGTTTTGTTTATTTTTCCCCCCACTATTTCCTATTTGGTGGCACATTTTTGTGACAGCTGTTGACAGTATCTGAGAACCTCCATTTTTCACACCTGCCAGAGAGCCATTCCATTTTCAGGATGGCAAGTCGTTCCTCCTCTTCATAACACTTACCCATCCCCAGGCTGAGCGGGGGTGGGGTGGGGATGGATTTGGGAACATCGCAGGGGTAGCTGGTTGTCCAACTGAGTGTGTATAAAATATGAACTTGGGGACTGAAGGAGTGTGAGGAAGCAGAGCTCTTCCCATGTTCCCTCTGTGAGGGGTCAGAGGTCCTGTTTAAATACATGCCCCAAGACGGATAAATATATATATTTACATGAACTAGTGTATCAGGCCATTAGAAAACTTAGAGTTGAGGAAGTAAAAAAAATATAAACAGAGGTTCTGCTGTTTTCCCCTGCACCCAAGGGTCATCTCCTGCACCCATATTTGTGCTCACGGGCATGTGGGGGTCATCAGCTCTTTCGTGCCCCTTGACCAGGCCTAAGGTCAGGACTTCCCCCAGCTCCTCTGCAGCCCTCCAGCTGCTCTGTCGTCCACCTGCTTCTCTTGGGTTCCCAGTTGTCCCCAGACAGACCCATGATTCTTCTGAAGTTTTCACTGAAACCCACCCTTTGTTTCTGGATTTTCCTGCTCCAAACAAGATTGAAAGGGAGGGGTATGTGCATGTGTGCATGCCTGTGTGTGTGCGCACACGCGTGTGTCTAGGTTGGGGAGAAAAAGCAGGTATTTTTCTACCCTTAAAAGTGCTTGAATGGTAGGTTTCAGGGAAACCCGAAAAGCAGATGTTTTGCCTCATACTGAGGCAGAAGTGGATATTTTCAGGTGGGATCCTGACGCCTCTTAACAGATGTCTCTGGGCCAGTTTGTCACATCAGAAGGAAAACAGGAGATTCCTGGAGGTCTTCTGGTCTCATCCTGAAAGCAGAGAGGAAGCTCAGWGCAAGCCCGAGCTGCTTCCTCACTCTTTGCTCAGCTTTGTGGCAGACATGTAAACCGTCCTCTGTGCTTTACAAAGAGCTCATTGCACTCCCAGGAGGCACATCTGTGGGGACCTACAGCAGGACCATTTCTGTCTTTCCCTCAGCAGATGCTTCCTTCTGCCCAGGGACTGGCCACAGAATCGCAGCCACCACTTCTGCCCCTGGGGAGCCATGGTGGCTGCTGGGCACCTGGGTCTCCTCTCTGTGTCGTATGCAGCCTGAGCCTTGGTGATGTCCCCTAAGGGTGGAACCTCTGCTCAGCCTGCATCTTCATCCTTCAAGGTGCCTGGGTTGCCTTCGGACAGCACTGGGGACAGGTACCTGAAAGCTCATGGCCCAGCCTTCAGCTATTTTGCGCTGACGTGGGCGGACGGAGGAGCTGCTTCCTGTGGGTTTCGCATCTCTCTTCACTTTAGAATGGCTCACTCATCCGTGCTGGCTGGGTCAGACACTGACTAGCAAGTAGGAGGCTACCTTTGCATCGTGCCCCAAACCTCTTGTATTTTCTAATGTCAGGGGTGACACGGATGCTTTTCAGCTGGTGAAGATCTCAGAGGTGCTTTTTTTTCCCCCCCTTTTTTTGATGGTACCGAGTGAGTAAGCAGAGAATAAAACACCTGGCAGATGTGGCGGGCTCAGTTATTATCAGCTCAGTTTGAATCATTTTACTGGATTACCCTTCATGGGTCGTAGGCCTGATGGAATAGGAGCCCAGAACAGGAATGTTTTGAGAGAGAGACAAAGGGTGGAAAGACCAGCCTTCACCTTCAGTAAAGGCCTGAGACCAGGGTGGAGAATAGTCTGGAGAGAAGGAAAGGTGAGGACGGATAGGGAAGACTCCAGGAAGATGAAAGATCCTGGGGAAGGAGAGGGGAGGAGAAAGTGGTTAAGGGGAACGAACCTTCTATTCCCATTAACTCTGTTGCCATATTTGGTACAAGTTGAGCATCCTTCATCCAAAAATCTGAACTCCAAAGCTTTGTGAGCACAGAGGTGGATGCCACAGGTGGAAAACTCCACACCTGGCTTCATGGGATGGGCTGCACTTAAAACCCAGGTGCACCAAAAACATTGTATAAAATGACCTGTGGGCTATGTGGATAAGGTGTATACGAAGCACAGGTGAATTTCATGTTTACACTCAGGTCCCATCCCCAAGATATTTCATTGTATTTATACAAATACATTCTAATTTTTTWWWAAAAAAAACAGAATTATGAAACACATCTGGTCTTAAGCATTTTTGATAAGGGATCCTCCACAGTTCATTTGTGACTTGAAGAGATTGGATTAGATCTGTTTAGTGACCAGTCTGTTTTCCAAATTGTTTTAATCCCTAGGTCTGATTCAGACCACCCTTATTACTCTCTTTGGGTGTCTGTTATCCATTGGTAAATATCGTGTAATCTACCCATTTTTCCCACTTAAAAGATAAAAATATCTGGGGCTAGAGATATAGCTCAGTTGGTAGAGTACTTGGTGCTTGCCTCACATGCACAAGGCCCTGGGTTCAATTCCCAGCACCACCAACATTTTTTTTTAAAGATAAATTTCTCTGAAGTCTGGTTTTCTATGAAATTTTAAAGCTACTACTCCTTCCCCATCTTTTTTTCCAACACAAACTCCTGTGAATACGGCTGCCAAGAAGGTATCTCTTTGTAGTATTAATTATAACGAGGTGACCAGCAACCCCAGCAGGATAGGTTCTTAYTCAGGAGGTATGAGCTGCCTGGGAAAATAAAAGGTCTGAAATAATCAGTAAGAAATAAAAACAAAGCCAGAAATTAGATATAAAAAGGGGAGCATCTGATGGGTCTTCCAGTCCTGATGGGAGCTAGGACTGAATCACCGAAAAGGCCCCAGTTCTTTATTTAAGGGGGGAGTACATCAAAGGCAGGGATAAAGTTTCAGCGGGAGGAGTCTTGGTTCCGTGCTTGCTTCTTGGTATGGCGGGGGTCCTGCACTGAAGAGGTTGAATGGCGTTTTGGCAAGCCATACCCATCTCCCCATCTCTGGGAGGCTGTGTGGCTCTAACGGGTCAGTCCCATCTCCATAGCCAAGCTAGAACTTAAATGGTGAGCTAGAACAGGGTACCACATGGATTGGGAGTTCTCAAGCCAGTGGATTCTGACTGGGAGTTCCCCAAACCAGGCTTCCCTGCCTAACGGTTTCAACGTCACTCAGTTTACGCATGGGTCAGGGATGGCTCCCAGTAATGAAGAATGCACTTATTGGGCTGAGGATGTAGCTCAGTGGTAGAGCACGTGTCAGGCTTTAATCTCCAGTGCTACCCAAAATGCATTTATTTAATCACTCAACAAACTCTATTAATTGAAGACCTATAATGTTCATTTGATACAAAGATAAATGATGAGTGAAAAATAAACCCTCTTATTGGGAAGCTCCTTGCCTGGTGTGAGAGACAGACGTGTAGTTTTAATGTTGTAGGCTGTAAGCAAGGGATCTTTGGGTATATGGGAAGTCCACGTGGGGTACTCTTAACCCTGACARTGCACAGGGGTTATGGAATGAGGAAAAGCTACTCAGAAGAGATGAATCTAGATGCACAACGAGAAGAGGCAAGGCCCTTCCTAGCAAAGGGAACAGCATTGGTAAAATCATGGAGACACAAAACTGCATCTGTATATGATAAACATGGGTAGCCCTTGAGTTACAATTGGCAGTCTTTGGGGGTAGTTGTCAACTTAAGTTGACATTATATTTTACACAATCTCATCCTTTTCACTAATGCATGCCATACTTGATTCATCTTGTATGCATATCTTTGGCATTGGAAAGATATGCATACAAGATTTGCTTATTTTAAAATAAAATCTTTACTATAAAGTTTAAAACTAGAGACAGTGCTTAAACTGAAAAGAATTGATGATAGCAGTTGTGGATGACATGGAGCAATCATGGAGCAATCAGAACTCCCAGACTTTGGGGGAATATCAAAYAGTATAATCACTTTGGAAACAGATCAGGCAGTGTTGAACATATGACTCTTTCATGACTCAAAAATTCCTCTTCTGGATATTYACCTTAGAGAAAAGAAAGCGCAGGTCCTCAAAAAGACTCATATGAAAATGTTTATAACCCCTTTATTCTCAGTACCCCCAAACTGGATATGACTCAAATCCCCATCAGCAGGAAAATGGATAGATCAATTATGACATATTAACATAGTGAGAAYAAAAAGGAACAAATTACTAATGTATACAACAAAATTTATGAGCCATAAAAACATGCCGAATGAAAAAAGCCAGACACAAAACACCATCTATATGATTTCACTGATGGGGAAGGTCTACAACAGGCAAATCTTGTCTTTGRTTAAAAGAAATCAGAACAGCAGCAGTCTTGAGGTGTAAGCTATTGACTGGGAAGAAACATGGAGGATCTTCTGGGATGGTGGGATAGTTGACATTTTCATATGGGTGTGGCACATAAGTGTGTAAGTATCAGTTGATCCAACTGTACATGAAAGATCAGTGCATTAATTTTTATAGAAAGGGTACCTCAATGGAAAAGTACTGGCATCAAAAAAAGTATGGGGAAAGGTAGAGGCTGTTCAAAATTAAACATGAGACTGCAAAGACAAATAAATGCAAATATAGTTGGAGAGAAAACACATGCATATGTGTGCATGCACGTGCACACACACACACACACACACACACACACACATACCACACATATCTAGGGATCTAGGGACTCCTGCTGCCTTTTGTGACATTGAGCAGGATGATGTAAACATTGAGCTTCACATGTTATCACTTGCACTCTTCTTCTTTTTGGCTTTGGCTGCACACATGACAATTTCTAGAAGTGAACCAAATTTTACAGCTCCACTCTGTATTGCTGACAAGACATGAAAWTAAAATTTGGGAATCACAGATGTTCAGAACCATAAAAGACTYCTCCATTTCATAGATGAGGAAGTGGGAACCAGGGAGCTGAAGGACATTCCCAGGGTTCAACAGTCATCTCTCAAGAATAATAAAATGTACCGGCTTTGGTGGATAGAAAAACAGGCTAGCTTCTGTGAAACTTTAGGTGTAAGTCTCAATTGTTTATCACCAATGTTTATTACSGTATAGCCAGGATAAAGGGTAGGGCTGTTAGATGTCTTTGATGGGCCAGGCATCATCTAGGTGCCTCACACACATCYTTAACCCATCCCTACGGGAGGGTAAGGTAAGTACTGTGGGCTGTGTTCCAAGATGAGGGAATAGAGAAGGGGAGAGAGAAGTTAGTGGCTTGTTAACACTGGCCAGCACAGCACTGAGACTTACTTCTGTTCCATTCTAAAATCTTTCTAATACCTTGAATATTAAATTTACTCTTCTTAACGATTATGCATCTGTACTTCTTTAGGTATTAAACATAATTATCCTTTGATTCTTTTGATTTGCCATCAAAAAAATTTGTAAATCTAGTACTATTATCAGATATTCGCCTCCTTCCTAGAATTTTTCTATTTAGCATTTAAATACTTGCATGAAATTTTCATCTGGGTTTTCTTCTTCGTGATTTTCAGACAGAGAAATTCTTGATCACTTTCTCCATTCTTACTGTGGCATCAAGAAAGAAATGAAAGAGGGAAATTGCTCAGTGATGAAAACCAGAAAATCAGTGGAAGCGATGGGGCCTACCTAGAAAAATCAAGAAAAAATGGATACGTATTACTCCAAATGCATTGTGATGGTTTTGAGCCTGTGGATTTGTTTTGTTTTTTTAATAATAAAGTCATTTAAGGCTACAAATTTCCCTCTGCACATAGCTTTAGCTGTATCTGATAGATTTTGATATAATGTCTTTTACCTTTGGATCTTGATTTTTTGTTTTCAGTTTTTATCTCCTCTTTGAACCAYGATTTGTGTGGAACAGATTTATTAACTTCCCAATAACTAGAAGATTTTWAAAAATATTCTGATTGTTGATTTCTTTTTTGAATGGAGTAAAATAAATGCATCTGCTTTGGGAAGTTTATCAAAGTTTTCTTCAATGCCATTCATCCAATATATGATTGATTTTTGTGTTAACATGAATATGAGGGAAAATTTTAATTTGTTGTACCTTTCAAATATTTTRTATCTTTGCCTTAATTGTATGCTTGAACTGTCAAATTTTGAAAGAAAAATATTAATATTAGAAACTTTCCACAATAAATAATTTTGTCAATTTCTCCTTGTATTTCTGGGATTTTTTTAATATGCATGACAGCTACGTTGTTTATTCTATTGAGGTTTATGTCTTACACAGAGCTTCTTCACTGATTAAGTTTTTCCCTGTCTTCTTTAACCTGGTTAATGCTTTTGGGTTTGAATTGCATTTTACTTGATATTAAAATGTTGCCATTTATACTTTTTTTTTTAACCTTTGCATTGGCTTAGTACCTTCTTGAACCCCTTTTACTTCCAATCTTTCTTTGTAACTTTGCTTCAATGTATTTATAGCAATACTTTAGGCCTGAGTTTTATATCATAATTAATATGAAAATTATTCTTTTGATAAAGTTAGTACAYGGTTTTACATACTGGGTTTTGTGTTGTTCACAATATTTTTTGTCCTCTAGTCTTTGTTCTCCTGTTTTATTTTTCCTAATTTCCTTCCCCCGCCTCTAGTGTGAATTTTTAAAATATATTAKTTTTCTTTATACTTATAGTCTTTAACACATATAGTCATTACTAAATTTGGATTCTTCCACCAATATATAAAAATTACATAATCCCTATGTTACCAGTGCCTTTTACTTCCCCGTTCCTCCCACCCTTGCTTACCAAGAAGAGAACTTTTGTTTTCCCATTTAATTTTGTCCTGCCCACTCCATCATCTGCATGTAAATGCTCACACACACACACACGTGTGCATGTGCACAAACACCCACGCACACACATGCACACGCATACATAGTTTTGYACGCTGAGAGAGTGTGGAATTTTGTTTTGTTAAAGATTTATTTTTCTGYTTAAAACCTATGACATTTTAGCCACGTTACCCGTGTTGTCTAGTTATTCGTTACTGTCATGGTTTCCTGCTTCCCCAGATTTTCTGTGTCACGAGCTCCATATKCTGATTCACTCTCCTTTGGTTAGAATATTTTCTATGTACCTCCTCTGATGGGTTACAAGATGGGCAATACTCTTAAGCCTTACTTGTCAAACACATTCTTTTTCTCTACATGATGTCCTGGCTARCTATAGAATGAGCAGGACTTTTTCTTATTTTCTCAGAGTTCCCAGTCACTGTGTTAATTTTCTTCTGGTTGAAAATATGATTTKTAAGTTTTATTCTATTACTGCTCTAAGTGGCCTGTTCCCTCCCCCAGAAGTTTGTGATTTTCTCTTTCCATCATAGCATTTCAGTGTTTTTTTTTAAATTAATTTTAGTTTTTAAATACATGACAGCAGAATGCATTACAATTCTTGTTACACATATAGAGGACAATTTTCATAGCTCTGGTTGTATATAAAGTATGTTCACGCCAATTCATGTCTTCGTACATGTACTTTGGATAATATGTCCATCGTTTTTTGACATTCATCTTTATCTGAGATCTWTCTCTAGCTTTGGGAAACTTCTTTTATCTCACCTGTTTTTTATTATTACTTTTCTTCCCTCTGTCTCTTTCCATGTTTCTTTCCTGAACCAACAATCACATCAGAGGTTCTCAGATTTTCTTTTTTTTTTTTGTTTACAGATTTCCATTTTTTAAGGTTTTTTTTTTTGTATGAAATTTCTTCCTTTTGTTCACTCAAAGCATCAGTTTGATTCTCAGCAGCAGCCATTCATAAACCAGGGTATYGTGTTTTATGGAGCTTGAATTTCAGAAAGTCTTTTTCTCTGTACTTGAATCCCCTTTTCGTTATCATAGTTTGTTGAAATGACTTTATTCTTTGCTTTCTCCATTGACTCTGCATTAATTGCAGCCATGTTTCTGGTGGTGGGCTCTTGTCTTCTCCATCAACTTATGGAGTACCCAGAAATGGTAGCATGGCTTGTCCTTCCTCTCATGGAAGGTGGGTCTATTGTGGTCTCTTTGGTCAGAGAAAATGMGCCTCAGGGGAAGAATGGCTGGCTTTGGCTTAGTGAGTGAGCTGCAAAGGAGCCGGGYTTAGAGAGAAGAGTTCCCTTACTTGCTGACATGAAGGTAAGAGTTCCATTCTGCTTCCTCCAAGTGGGGGATGAACAGCTCTCTCAGCTGCACAGAGTGGGAGAAGTTTATCTCATGATTTCATCCTCCACCAGGTTTTCCAGGGTCTCCAGCCTTGGACAGATCCTCCAGCAGCAAGTGGGTAGCTGTGACCCCGTAGAAGGGGTCATCCCACATCTGCCCACGTGGGGCCTGCCAGGATTTGCAAATCTGAGATCAYTGCCTGGGATCCAGCAGACACCTCTCTTGCATGGCTTGGAACTGATGGCTACAGCACAGCACCAGGGTTGAAGGAAAGTCAAGGCTTCACCCACTCAAAATCTCTGGAAAATTCACAGCTTCAGATATGCCCAGTACCTGTGTCCTAAGCTGTGTTCTGCTGCTAAGCCAACATATCCAAGATGGGGAATGTATAAAGGAGAGAGATTTACTTCTCACAGACCTGGAGGCTGGGGAGTCCAAGGTGCATATGGTGAAGGCTTTCTTATTGTGTCAYATCATGGCAGAGGGCATCACATGGAGAAATCGGAGGAATATACTAGCTTGGGTCCTTATACCTTCTCTTATGTAAGCACTAAAGCCATCATGGGACCTCCACCCTCATAACTTCATTTAACCCTGATTACTTCCTGAAGGCCCCTCCTCCAAATACTGTCAAAATATGAATTGGAAGATTAAATTTCCAGCACCTGAGCATAAAGCTGCTTCTATGTCTTTCTTAGAGGGTTAGCATTATAGCAGTAGCCACCCAAGAACTTCACATGGATTCTCTCTTCGTATGCGTGGTGTAGGACTTCCCAACTGTCTTCACAGCACCCACGCTAATTCAGAGGTCCACATATTCCATCAGAATCTTAAACATTACATGAATATTTAATACCTACTGTGTGCCAGGAATTGTTTTAGGTGATGGTAAAATGCACAGAGCTTATCTCCAAGTAGAAGCCTCTTGGGAGGCTCCAACTGAGAACAAATATTGTAAGCTGAGGCTTCATGGGGAGGAAGAGTTAGCTAGGTAGAGATGGGGCAATAGCTTTCCAGAATTGGGGAGCAACAAGGAAGTGCATTGAAATAGGAAAGAYCTTGAAATGTCCTAGAAACCTGCAGAAGGCAGGGTGGCTGAAGTCTAGTGAGTTGGTCAGGAACAAGGGACAGAGGGACTGTTATGCAAAAGAAGGTCAAGGAGACAGGAGTTCAGTYGGGGCCTGGGTGCCTTCATATTCCTGAGATCATGGGCCCTTGTATTCTATTTGCTGTATTCTAGAATGTTTACTAGATTTCTGTTGAGTCAAGTTGTGGAYCACCCATGAACATGACTTGGGTTTTGCACTCTCTTTCAAACTCTGGGGACAAAGCTTTGTGAGGAATTCCAGTTGTTAGCCGTTGGGGACATGTCTGTGCATGCATCTTCAGCTGACCACCAACCTCCACATCCAAGTGGGATTCCCTGATCACCTAGAGGATTTTTTTAAATTCTCATACATTAATGTTCACTATTTGTACTATAAAGTTCTATGGGTCTTCACAAAATCACGGTGCCATGGTATCTACAACTGTAGCACCGTGTGGGATGACCTCACGGCCCTGAAAATCCTGCGCTCCACCATTCTCATTTTCTCCTCCTCTCRCAATATTACTCCTTGGAAGATGGTTTTTGTGCTTTCAGGAAGGAGAGCTGAGAAAAGCCAACAGCTCCTTTGCCCTGAGGCTCCCCGCCACGTGGGTGAGGATTGCCATCATCCGTCAGGATTTAGAAAGCCATCCTATAAGTAGGATTCTAGAACTCAACGATGACTGGCCAATCTRGAGCCAGAAATTCTCTTTACCATACATACAGGATTGGGTGCACACTGACATATATTTGCTTGAGGTATTGCGGTAAATTTTTTCCTATTCAATTCATCTCTCTGTATCCCTCCCCCTGGCTCTGTAACCTTGTATCCCTTCCTCATAAAGATACAGTGTATTTCTCCAGCCTTCAGTTGTGATCCTGGTCACATGACTTTCTTTGGCCAATGGATGTTAGCACCCATACCTGGGCTGCCAGTGGATCCCTGGAGGAGGATGTGACAAGTGGAGGAAAGTCACCCCAGGCTGGACCCACAGACAGTGGGAAATAAATGCTYTTGGTTTCATGCCACAGAAGTTAATGGAGCACCAGCTGACCAATGCAGTATTTGTTYAGATGAGATATCCCTGGAACACTCAAAATGAGAAGGAAGGCTTGGTGTACAAGTTCTCTTAAAAATATTAAGTAAGTCTAATCACCACTAACAAATGATTGGGTTTCAAAGTGGGAGGGTGTGGTGCTGTTGAAAAACMTGCTACATGGTGAAGGCATTTTAAACACTGGACACCTCAAAAGTTCTCCTGAGGCCAGTGGCTGATGCTTATTTTAATGTGCCAGAAGTTGTGAATGATTGGTTTAATGAGATTCCTTCTCAGAGAAGATTGGAAAGATTGGATCAGCCATGCATCTCATGTGAATTCATTGCCTACTACT